ATGCATGTCAAATAAACTCTACGCTTCATACAGGCTCCCCGTGCCTTTCTTCTCTGACTTTCTTTTCCTTTCTTCTCTCTTAGGGATTTTTGTTTTATTCACTTCTAGAGCTTTTCCCTTTGTCTCTCTCTTCCTTCCTTCCTTCCTGCCTTCCTTCTCCTTTCTCACTTTCCAGTTCCTTTTTTTCTTCACTTTTTTCTTCCTGAAAAACCTCGCTTTGTATTTTTCTCGTATATGCCTCTCTCTCTCTCTCTCTCTCTCTCTCTCTCTCATTTTGTGTGATTCGTCTGATTGGCTGGGTGATGTGTTTCAGGGTTAACACTACACACGTAAAAAAAGATCGTTCTTCAATGGTTCTTTTTTTTTTTTAGACCCATGTGTTCTATATAGAACCATTTCATGCTTAAATGGTTCTTTGCATGGTGAAATCAGTCATTTGAAATTGGTTCCATATAGCACCAAAAAGGGCTTTGCTATTGTTACAGACAACCATTTACAACACATTCTCCATCAATCTGAAGAACCATTTCACCACACACAAAAAAAAAAACATTTAAGCATGCAAATGATTCTATATAGAACTGATAGAACTGATGGTTCTAAAAGGACCATTGCCTTTACTAAAGAAGAACCATCTTTTTAAGTGTATATATGAGCAATCATGGCCACTTTTAGAGAGACCCAGACTGAACTCCAGTAGCCCCTCCAGTACACAGCAACAATCAGTGCCATCTGGCCTGCAGAGCATTTTCTCTCACACATGATCAGCACAGGCTTGCCAGCCAATCTGCTTCTCTTCATACTTTTCCTTCACAGATCCACACTGGAGTTACCAAGCTTCCATTTATCTACAACCTAGCAATGAAATAAACGCCTAGGGCATTGTTAAGATCAGCCTGTTTACATTAGCTACACTGTATATACACAAGTATTCAGACGTCTCTTCTGATCATAGAATTCAGCTTTAAGTTGTACCTATTGCTGATAATTGTGTTCACAGTTTGTATAATCCTCTTAGAAAAGCACTGCTAATAGAGTGGGACACAAGCAGCTGCACATGAGTTGGAGTGGTGTTTGTTATCTAGAGCTAATCATCCAATATGCCTGACGTCACTAATGCTCTTGTGGCTGAATGCAATCAGATCCCGACAGCATTGTTTCAAACATCTATTACAAAGCATCCCAGAGAAGTAGATGCTGTTACTGCAGCAAAGGAGGACAAACTCCCTATTAATACCCCTCATTTCAGAAGAAACTTTGGATGAACAGACATCTACAAACTTTTAGACGTTTAGCCTTGTATACTTTTTAGGCCATTGGACCCAAATTCTCCGGTATTGCAATTAGCTCAGTGGTGCTCAGTCCTGGGGATCTACCACCCTGCAGAGTTTAGCTCCAACCCAAGTCTAGCATGCCTAATCCAGAGAGCCTTCAGGGTCATCTTAATATTAGAGCCAAGTATGTAAGGTCAGAACTCTCCACGGTGGTGGATCTCCAGGACAGAGCAACCCTGAATTAGCCGGTGTCATTTTTCGGTAGATTGTGCGGTTGTAAATGAACCGGGGGGAACAGAAACACTTAAGACTGTCTTTGTTCATCTAGTCTTGACTGAATGGGCCAGAAATGTCGTGCCATTTAATTACCAGCTGGGTTACTAGTTGGTCATCACAGTTCTGTTCCCACATTTGCTCTCTTAACCCATTTTTAAAAGTAAAGGGTAACTTTGGCTGATGGGGTCACATGACCTTTTATTAAGACACATATTCTCATTTCTCTTGATTTCCCTTCAGTTAACACATACACACAAGCTAAAGGGTCAACCGATAAATTTGTCCACGCTTGAAAAATGTTGACATTTCTGTGACACAAGCAAGAAAAGAGAATAGACGAAGGCTGTGGGAATGGCGCCCCCTGCTGCTCAATAGCGGTAAGTGTAGGTCACTGTTTTAAAGAGGCCATATTCTACATTTTTGTGTTTTCTCCCTGTGGTCCACTTACGATGTTTTGTGTGAGTTTGAGTATTAAAAAAGTCATAATTAATTTTTCGTGACCATTTTCCACCCGCTTTTTATCCATTAGATGTTAAACCTTTAAGACTGGCTGTCTTGTAGTGACAGACCTCATTTAAGTAGTCCGGGCTGTAGACTAAGGCCCAATCCCATTTCTTCTTTTTTTACCCCTACCCCTTGTTTTTGAGTGTCACCCTAACTTGGAACTGAGTTACAAGGGGTACGACCCTACGGGCCGTCTTCAGTGATAGCAGAGAAAGGAAAAGTTCAGCAGCCTCGCCGCTGGGCTTTAGTTACATTTAGGTCATCATATCCTTTCAAAGAGGCGGTATAAGACAATTATTTACTATCGCCCACCGCTAATTCTTTGTGACACGAAGCTGAAGTCAGCTATTCGCCAGCGTCTTGTTTGAATTTTCCCGTTCCACCTTAAATGGTGCAGCAGTTACATTCTGGCGCTTCAGGCGTCAGAACTGCTGGGCTATTTAAGGTGGAACGGGAAAGTTAGCTAGCTAGCTACGGAGACATTAGCATGCTATTAGTGATTTTTTATGCTTGTTGTGAAGAAAACGACATTAAACTAAGACAATACAATGGTTATCGTAAATTTTAACGGAGAAAATACTCACATTTGTGGGTTTCTTTGGTCGCTCGCGCAGCCATCTTGCCGGTTTTTCTTTTTTTTCTTGTAACACTCTGTTTGGAGTGAATCTCTGGAAAAAACTCAGTTTGGAGGACCATGTAGCCCGAACACTTCACCCTATCCCCCTATCACAACAAAAACTGGGACACCCTAACCCTAGACGTGAACGTGCAACGGCTAAGGGCTAAGTGGTAGGGGCAAGGGGTGAGATGGGATTGGGCCTAAATAGGCGTGTATATTAAATACACTGTTTTTCATGGCATCACAAATACAACACAAATCTTTTGGCATTTTTTTTTATTTTCTCCTCAGTTTGGTCGTTTGCAGTTCAATCCATTAGCTTGGTGTCCCCTAATCACACAATGTTTTATACTATCTTTTGTACTTCAGACTACTTTCAGCTCAACTCAATAACAATTGAGCAATGAAATAAACACCTAGGACGTTTGTTAAGATTAGGCTGTAGTACATTAGCTACACTGTATATCCAAAAGTATCCAGACTTCCCTCCAGACTTTGTGATGCAGTGCATCACAGTCACTGTGGTCTGCACTACAACAGCACATTTCAGTTTACAGTTCCTCTTGTCACAGACAGCAGCGGTAGGAAGATGAAGGCTATATGCATCCTCCAAGTCGTGTTAAACCAGCCACTGCATCTTTCACAACTGCCAGTAATGCAGCGTCATTGGACAGCTAAACACGCTTGGAGGAGAGCACTAAGGCTACGTTTACACAGCAGGTAAAAGTGGCCCAAATCAGATTTTCTCACCAAATCAGATTTTTTTGTTTGGCTGTTCACATTATCTTTTAAATGTGACCTGTATGCGACATTAGTTTGAACAGATCAGCTCCTAAACCGACCCGCATGCGCAAAAGAACAATGCTTCACGTGGCGGCTCGTCCAGAGGTAAACAGTCATGACGGCCAGCGAACGCCAGTCGCTCCCGGAGCTTCAGTTTCGTCTTCGCCAGCATCACAGGAGCGAGTATAAAGTTCCAGTAGTTGTGCTGAGCTGGGCTCATCACCCAGAATGTGTTCGAGTTCGCCGAAAAAGGGCGCGTTATTCGGCCACGGGCACTTCTTTGGTTCGTGTCCTCGGATTCTTTAAACTGTTCTCTGACGCTGCAGCCTCGGGCTCCTCCGGCCGCGCTCGGCCGTTTCGTTCTAAACCTCTTCAAACACGGAGCGGTTTGATGAGTCTCTTCTAATTTTTTGTACAGAAACATCAGACTAAATGTTTGAGTCTCAGCAGCGCGAAATTATGGCGAATGTCGAGTTGTACTGACGTAAAAGTCGCATGAATTCCGATCTGGCTGTTCAGAGTTGCATTGCCGCAGATCGGATACGCATCGGATTTCAGTACCACATATGAAAGCGTCTCAAATCGGAATTGAAAATGTCAGATTCAATGTGTTTTTTGCTGTTCACACTGCCACACAGATCACACATCTGTGTCACATATGAGGAAAAAGATCGGATTTGGGCCACTTTTACCTGCTGTGTAAACGTAGTCTAACTCCTTGCACTGGCTAGCATCCCGCTGAGTGAGGGGGGAGAGGGAAGGCCATCCTACCCACCCAGAGAGAGTGAGGCTTTTTGTGATACAATTAATTCTTCACAAGCTATTTATAAGTAATCAGTAATAGTAAGTAAGTAACTAAAGTACTATAAGTAATTTGTATTTCAGTTAAGTAATTTGCAATCACTGGATTTCTGATGTTTCAGCTTGTTGCAGTATTTCCCTACATCAATGTAGGTGGGAACATAAACTACTTGAACATTGAAATTCAATTTTTACAGAACTGAAGGACACAAATTGGCAGATGGTAGAAGACCCACACACACACAAAAAAAAGAAAAGAAAAATAAATAGATAAATAAAAGTTAACCTTTAACAAATCGTACTGTGTTGTTAGGAGCTACATGAGAAAAGAATGTCCACCAGCTGAGTTGGAAGTGGTCCTAGGATGCATACACACTTTTCTTTATGAAGCTGTTTCAAATTCATTAGCATTTTTGATAACAATATTTTCAACTGATTTCACTAGTGTGTAGTTAATAATCAGTAATGTATCTGGATTAAGTATTTTTTTTTTAAGTAGTGTTTCTTAAAGAGCGAAGTTAACGTGGTTTTCAGTCATTTGTTCGGTTTTGCCAGAGAGAGAATTTTGTTCGTTTTTGTAATTGAAAAATGAGAAGAAAATGGGATATAATTTCAAAATGCGTTTTAGAAATGGTAAAAGTCTTTAGTATGATATACTGATTGCGTATGCGTCTGAAAGTAGAGAATAATGAGAGAACGCATGCTCTTATTTTGAAATTCCGTTGGGCTGTGCCGTTTCCGCGTTTACAGTGTCACCGGCAGCGTGGAGCAGTCAGAGTGGAGAGTGTGTGTGTTGAGGAGTTGATGGTGGTGACATTTCCAGTTATAATGATGTTTTTGAGCGACTGTTCAGTGAAATGTTACCACTAGGCATTATTTCAGTATCCAACATCTCCATGTAGGTTCGCAGGAAAATGAATAGCATTGTAAAACGTGTTATTCACCGGATTAGAAGAAGCTTTTCTAGTCAGCAGGTAAGAGCAGTTATTAAGAGGGTGCAGCTGCAGTGAACTGATTTTCTCATATATAGTTAGCTTAGTGCCAACAATTACTGCTAGATTTAGACTTTTATGGCAGAGATTTATAATCTTAATTTCTGAACTCAAAAGATTTTTAATCTGTTTGACCACCATATTGTCATAATGTCATGATTTTATTTTTGTAGCACCATTCATGCATGCATTTGACATGCATCTGAAAGTGCTTTACAGGCATTGAAAAAAGAAGTGTAAAAAGGAGAGGAGTAATGCACAATAGAGTAAAACCAGTAGGCTTTTTATTCTTCTCATTCAAATCAAGAGAATGAATAAAATAAGAAAATAAGAGCTAGTTAAGAGCTAAGTTTTTTTAAGGTATGTCAGGCAGTTCTTGTGCTTCCTTCACTTTTTTCTAACTCTTAAAAGGGAATTCCACCAATTTCTGAATACTTTAGTCCTTGAGATGTAAACAAAGTCATTCAGAGTGGTTTGATGTGAAGTGGTGCATTCTAGAGAAACTTGCAGACTCTGATTTCTTTACAGTGGTGGTGACAGGAACCAGGGGTCACAATGTCTATATAGGTATTTTATTTATTATTGCCAGTCATGAGACCGAGACCTGACATGTGCTCTGACAACAATATGTTGTCCTTGTTTATCAACCATCAGATATACCTGACATTAATAGACATGTGATGTTATAGGCTTATTATGGTCCATCCCATCCTCGTCGACAGCATTAGGGGGCAGTCGTGGGCTGGAGGTTAGGGAACCAGGCTTGTGACCGGAAGGTTGCTGGATTGATCCCCTCAGCTGACAGTGCATGACTGAAGTGCCCTTGAGCAAGGCACCTAACCCCCCACCTGCTCCCCGGGCGCCGTGGATAGGGCTGCCCACCGCTCCGGGCAAGCGTGCTCACTGCACCCTAGTGTGTGTGTTCACTAGTGTGCATGTATGTGGGTGTTTCACTGCACGGATGGGTTACATGCGGAGGCCTAATTCATCTGTGTGCAAAACACAGTTGGCTAATGGTTCTGAATTTAATTCAGTTCATTCCAATCCATGGATTGCATTACAATCTTGTGGGCCTTTACATCATTTTAGGATGAGTAGTGGGTGAGAAATACTGGCCATATTCCCTGTTAGAGGTTGACAAAGGCTGATTACACTTGTTAGAACATACTCTTCACAATATGTACAGGAAGGGGGAGGGAATGCTCTGCTGTATTATATGCTATACGATACTATATTCAGTATTATGTGTTATAATGTATGATCTGCTTGCGTGTTTGTTTTATGTAAGCTGCACCTGAAAGGACATTCTGAGAGGACTTTGGGCCACATTCATCAACCATTCTTAGGAAGAAATTACTTTTTAAAACCCACTTATGCAGTTATCACAAAGTTTCTGCCATTCATGAATGTTTTCTTATTTGGTATTTGTTCTTAGCTAAGAACAGAATCTACATGCTCAAAACAATTCTGCAGTTTAAGAACACGTCATGGTCCAGGCCAGTTATGTGCCTGAAAACCTATTTAAACATGATGCTTACAATGTTAAACAGGTCAGCATGTTGTCTGTCTGTGAAATGTGTGCACAAAGAAATAAAGATCAATTCTCCGGACACAACACTGGACATCCTGGTTTGGATAAGTGGGTTTGATTATTTACTATCCAAAACCATCAGTGAACCTACACGTGCCTTCTGGGTGTTTATATGTAATATTGATTATGGTAAAATAGTCATAAATCTGAAAAAATATGCTTACATACATTTTCAGCCAAAACATTATCACAAGACTGTCATAAAACAATGTGACGGAGATCAGGCAATATATATCTAAACATTGTAATAACTTTCTGTGAGGGAGCTTTCAGAGGCATTAAGCTACTCACATGTCTGCTTCCTATCATGACCACTGTAAACAATTCTGACTCAGCAAGTTTCTCTAGAACAGAGCATTTCACATCAAACCACTCTGAATAATTGTTTACATCTCAACCAACTAATGATGTAGATGTTTTGAAAAATCGGTGGAGTTCCCCTTTAAGTAGTTTAATCCTTTTAACCCTTAAATGCTTATTATTCAGTTATCAATGTTACGATTTATTATCCAGTAACTAATATGAATTGTTCAGTAACTTCTGTGGAAACATGGTATATACTGTGCTGTAATGCTGCAAAATGCATGTACATTGTGTGAGCATGAGAAGTCTGGACACCTTGTCAGTCACTAAGTCTTTGAGAAGTCTGATCCAAAGCCTGGTCATGCTCTGGTTTTATTTAGTTTTTGCTGGTTTCCAGTTAAATTTTGAATTGCTTACAAGGTCTTGCTTATGATATTGTGACAGCTTTTAACGGCCTAGCCCTGGCATGTCTTTCTGATCTGTTGAAGTGTTATAGCCCATCTAGACCACTTCAGTCAGATGGGGTAAGCTTACCTAGGATCAATTAAAGCTTTTGGAATGGCATTCTAGAGAATACATTGAATGCAAGCTTAATGTTTTTTTATTGAGTTTTAAATCATGTTTGTTTAGGCCAGGTGTCTTCTGTTTGTAATTGTGCTGTTGAATTAAATTTCAACAATTACATTTTGTTTTCTAATACTTTGCATATCTTCATTAAAATATGTTTTTCCAGGCTTTGTTCACATTGCCCTGCAGAGCTGTAGGCGGCGCTGTTGGCCCTCCTGTAGACTGCAGTGTGACAGAAGAGCAGGCGGTCAGTTTGTGGGCTCGACACTTCCAGCAGCACGGCATCTCTGAACCACTCCTATCCAGCCAGTACATCATAGCTCATGTGCTTGGAAAGAAAACAGTGAGTTTATTTCTCTCTCTTTGACTTTAACTTTATGTCTTTCTGACATTCTGCACATTAATCTCATAGTCTTTGCTTCATTACAAGTCCAATGCGCTGGAGTTCAGAGCCGGAACTACAAAATTCATGCCATTGACCAGGTGCTTACAGACTGCACTGTATCTCCAGACACTGAATGTGTGTGATGCTAGAATAAATAGAGAATTTCTAATGACAGAATAATGTAGACAAACTGAATTTGATTTAGTCTCACCTACAGCTGACCAGTCTAATGGCCAAATGATGCAATTCTGTGCTATTTTTGTGTTGTACTCTTCAAGATGTCAGTGTTATCACCTCCACTCCCTCACTGTTATCACTGTGTTACACAGAAAACACCAACCACAGGCCATTAGTTACATCATCACTGCCTCAACTACTGGCCCATTTGATTCCCACAGCCCCCATATAGTACATAATTGGGTCATAAAGTAATACAGAGTTGCTATATGTATGAAAAGTCTGCATGTGTCTAGGTTGGAACCATGTCTGGGAAAACAATCTCTTTATTTTTAATATATTTCAGCTTTTCTTTATGAGTCACTTTCCTGTTTTTATTTGTCTTGGTTGCCCGCCTGCCGTAAATGGAATGATTTACTGCTGAGCAATATAAGTTAACAAGGGGTGTGTGTGTGTGTGTGTGTGTGTGTGTGTGTGTCTGTGTGTGTGTGTGGTAACTGGCAAGAGTGTTTCATTGTTGTCTCACTATATTTATCCAGAAAGAGGACACGTAGATTCATATTCTTTTCAACAAACACACTGAGCAGTTCCAGCACAATTACTGCCTGTTTGTCCGAGAACTTCTAGGAATCAAATTATGCTTCCCCACATCCCCCCACTGCCTTGTTTTCCTAATTATAAACATCTCTCTCTCTCTCTCTCCGTCTCTCCCCCCCTCTGTCTGAAAGCTGAACTGTGTGGAGAGGAGTCGTCTCAGGGACAGTCTGACTGACCAGCAAAGGGAGAATGTGTGGAAACTGTGTACCAAACGCCTCACAAGGTACTGACTCGACTGTCTACTGTCAGTATTCTAATATTTATACACAGTGCAACAGGCCAGGGCCATGCAGACATTTCTTTCATTATTAAGTGTGTTCACCTTTCGCCTTTATTACAGCTTCCATTCCTTTTGGGAGACCACAGTTTTTCAAGGAAATCTGCAGGGTTATTTTTCCACACCTCCGAAGTTCAGTCTTAGAAGTTGATTCTCATAATCCAAGTGCATTACCAATTTCCTCATAGTTCCAGTGCAAAACAAACATTCTGGCAGATTTGGCAGATCAACTACATTTGGGATGAGGGGAAAACTGTATGTTTTGTCTGACCTGGTGTTTAGAGTGTGTCTGTGTGTATGTGTGTTTCAGGATGCCATTGCAGTATGTAATTGAAGAGTGGGACTTTAGGGACCTGACTCTGAAGATGAGACCTCCAGTGTTCATCCCACGCCCCGAAACAGAGGTCTGACATCACACACACACATTTCTCAGTAATCTGCAGTGCCCTTTATCTTGTTTGCCAAGACCTTCACTTCTAATGAACTAGAAATGAATTTGGGAAACACAGGATGTGACTCATAAGCATAAACATGGTGTGTGATAATACAGGTATCATGGCAAACGTGCAGATTTGTGCGTTTCTGTGTTTCGGGGGGGGGTTGTGTGTAGGAGCTGGTTAGTTTGGTGTTGGAGGATCTCCAGACAGAGTGGAGGGGCAGGACGTGGCCTGCTTTAAGATGCCTAGAGGTGGGCTGTGGAACGGGCGCAATATCTCTTAGCTTACTGCACAGCGTACCACAGGTTAGTCTCCACCACACCCAGCACTCATTATCCTTTATGGAAAATATTTTGATATTATCCTGGGAAGACATGTTAAGAGGCATTTGGGCCCACACTTCAGTTCCTTAAAGTGTTCAAAACTACATAACACGTACATACTAGTTTTACATATTAGATTCATAGAAGTTACCAAATTGTTTGTGGTACTTACTGAATAAAAAGTCTCAAAGGGGACCAGTCTTACACTGTAAACAGCTCCCAGAGTTTTGTTTCAATAAGGAGCTGCACTTTCTGTGAAATGAGCAAACGTCTTTTACTCAGTATGCCATCTTGTGCTGTTGACATGAGATGAATTGAGAACATTTGCTTGTGCTCCAAACACTTGGATGTTTTTGAGCATCAGATTCAGATTGGATCTTGTTCCTTCTGGGGACTGTTGCCTGTCGCTGTCGACAGATGCATCACTGCCACAGAAGAGAGGATAAACTGAGCTAGGCTGTCTGTAATAACTGATGTAGTGTTACCCATTAGCAAATACCAAATATATATTAGCTACTAATATATAGTGCTCACTTAAAAACTTCACAAAATGTTTATCTTAGCTTCCACATTTACTAGAAATACACTGAGGCAAATTCATTTGACCTCATGGACGTTGTTTCTCTCTTGTCCTGCGTCTGGGCCTGTTCATTGTTTGTGTTGTCGTCTCTCCTCTATTGTCTAATAGGTGAATTCTGGTTTAAAATGAAATGCTTTTGTGGATGCTTCAAAATCTGTTTTATCTTCTGCCTCATTATATCAGCCCTATTTAAAAATGTAGTGTGCTCTAACAGCTACTGTGGCTAGCTCTGTATGCACGTTTGTTAAGGCTGCTCTTTCATTTATTTATAAGTTTGAAGAGGATGGGCAAGTGCATGGGAGCAGAAAAGCCATGTGCGTCATGCCTGTGTTGATTCTTGGCAGTTCCCTCCCTCAGGATATGGGACCAGTGATGTCATTGGTCCAGTTTTTCCTTGTCTTTTTTTCTCTGAAATGGGTTTGATGGTAAAACCCATGGTTTTTCAAAGCATTAGCATGATGCAGCACTTTATTACTTAAAAAAAATAACTAACGGTTCCCCTTTAAGATTAATAACTGAATAGTAAGCAGTGTATGAGGTTAAATCACAGTCTTTGCTACAACACACCTTTATTTCACAATATCTATAATGTGTAGGACCACTGCTGCGAGTGTGGTAATTCTTGATGAGGTAATTTATTCCGTTAATGCTTTTACTCTAAGCTCAAGGCTATTGCATTGGACCACAGCCAGGAAGCAGTGTTCCTAACGAAGGAAAACGCAAGCAGGTAATTATCACCTCTGACGTGAGCAGATATGAATACAAGTGAGCTGTTCATTCATGCACCTAAACATACATGTTTATTTCCCCAGACTGGGACTCCAGGGCAGACTGGAAGTGCATCATTTAGATATTATAAAGGGTAAGTGAGGAATGTTTAAAGAGAAGGTTCAATTTCATTATGATTTTACATTAGGAAAAAGAAAGTAGAGTGTTGTGGAGCTACTTTTACAGAGAAAAACATATGAAGTGGTTGATTGATTGACTGCTTTGACAACATTGTGGGATTATGCAATGAGGAGCTTCCACTTTTTTGACCTCGTCCCCAACAACACAAACAGATAATATAACAGTGTGACGCTCACAGAAGACACGATGACCGAGGTTAAAGATGTTTGAGATGTGTTTTTACACAGAGAGTGGAGACAAGCTTACACAGACTGGGTCACATCGTTACAGTGTATAACAGGGAATTCAGGCTACAGAGATACTGAGAGAAATAGAACTAGATATGTATAGTATCTGTGTAGTAACAACAGGATTTTGCAATGAGACACGGGACACAAAATGCCACATAATGACAGATGATGGGAAACAAGTATCAGCACCACGGAAGAGCAGCATTTATTTTTTGCAAGGCAAGCATGACAAGCAGAAATACAGAAGCAGCAGGAAGGGCTTGTTAACACTTATAAGTCAAAGGTTACTGTACTGTAATTTCGCTATACTGTTCAAATATAATTGCATATTTAATTAGTAAATTATGTAATGAATAGCAGGATTTCCAAACACAAGTCTATAGAGTCTATAGATGTCAGTACACTAGTATATTGTTATTACCCCTTTAGGTAGCCCTTAGACACCGAGAGTTCTTGTTTTTGTGATGTTTCCCTTAATTGCACAAGTAATTATGGTTACTTAATTAATTACAGTGAATTGCAATAAATTGAACTTTTGACATTTTTCTGTTTGTTTTGATGTCAAGCAGCAGCTAAACTATGGAAAAATGGAAAGGAAGGTTTCTATTCACAAAACAAGACCAGTAACTTTGCTCAAATCATAATAAAATATCTCTTCTTCTACTTCCAAATTCAAATGTAGTATCAGTTAAAAGAAAGAATCTGGTCTTCTGACAGATAGCTTTTTTCAAGTAACACCTGACTATGCAAGTCAGGGATAAACCAGGGCAAAGACTGAAAACCAGTACTGTTCAGTGTTATATGTAGTGTCAGACTTTTTCCACTAGATGATGATAAAACTCTCCACACACACACGCACGCACACACAAACACACACACACACACACACACACACACACACACACACACACAGTCACAGTGTCCTTCCTGAATCAGTGTGAAGCACCTCTGCTGCTCATATTGGCTTATATGAGAGAAATTAATTTTGTATAAGGGGAAAACAATACAAAGTTATTATTTTTTTCAGTATTTCAGTTTTTTTCAGGATTTAAAGTGCCCATGTTTTACCTGTATTAGAGCTTCTTTTCAGGATACTTGCTCTCAGTTTCACAATGAAATCTGCGGGGGATATTTTTCCACATCTCCAAAGTTCAGTCTTTTAATAACTTGTTTTAGAAACTTATGATTTTTCACTTTTTTGAAATTTGGGCCAGAAATTACATAAATGATCTCTGAATTTTGCACGGTACTGTATCTGATTGTAAAATCAAATATTATTGTTTGTTTTAACATAACCAAGCACATTTTGTATGATTTATTTTTTAAAATAATGAAATAAAGGACAACAAAGATGAAAAATCTAGACTGGGCTTCAATGACCCCCGGTTAATTTTTACTTAAAATAATTGATAAACAAAACACTCTTTTTGAAGGACTAGTAACAAACATTTAAACTGGGACCATTTGTTAATTGAATATTTCAACATTTAACATTTTATGCAATTGAGCTTGGGCTGTTTTTCGACTTCTAGAACAGACGACTAATCGTAGCATTATTAGCACTTTTTACTAAGATTCTTATTTATTCTGGTTTTTCATGTTTATTTTTATAAAAAAATCTGTAGATGTTTCTGTAAATTGAAGTTTCATGTAGCTGGTGAGTCTCTGTGTAAGTTTAAGTGTTGGTGTGTTTTCTACATTGTGCACTAGGTACTGAAGAGCAATAGTGGATCATAAAATCCGCCATGTGGGTGCAAATTGCTAAAGACAATTCTAAAAAAAGCTTGAATGTAAACTGGAGTGAACTTATAGCTTATAGCTTATAACTTATAGCTGAACTATGACGTTGGTCTACCACTTATGAAAATGTGTGTGAGATGTCCGCATCCTAAATTGTAGCTGACCATACTTAAAAGAAACATTTAACAACATGTATAGTGAATTAGATTTCATGCTGTGGAATGTTTTGAATTTACATTATAGACAGAAAACCCAAGAGTAAATAGCCTCTGTAATTTTCACTCGACCCATATCATGTACCTATTTTTAGAATATCGAAATGGGTTAGTGGGCTGATTGGGTTCCGCAGTGTCAAGTAGGAGTTTAAGCCTTTTTTGTAATTGCACTCAAAAAATTAATGAATAAATTCAGAAAATGCATTAATTGCTTGTATTAATTAGTATTAGTATTAGTGACAAAGTAATCCAAATTTGAGTTGGACGTTAAAAAATCAAATTAAGGCTGAGCCATGACAGTGTACCGTTTAAACCCACCTTGTAGACAATTATTTTTTTATTAAAAATAAATAAATGAATAAAAATAGTATGTATATGATGTTACAATATATCTGGAATTGATATGAAACGACTCAGGTTATGTTTTAAGTATTTCTGTTTACAGATGTGTGCAAAATTTTGGGTGCCATTCAAATTATTTGTTTTTTGTTTTGTTAGGTAAAATAGGTAACGTCCTCTACAAAGAATACACTTTTAAATTAAAAATACTAATGCACAATGACTGTTTATTTGCTGGATTTAACATATTGGAAAAAAATAAAAAATAAAATAAGGCTTGTGCAAAAATGATGGCATGTTTTGTACGTTATGTTTTATGTTTTAAGGTTTTTCAATTTGGCCGTGGGTGTTCAGACGTCTGCATATGACTGTATGTATGAGCCCAGACTGTCTAGAAAGCTATTAGTCACTTCTGATTTTAGCTGCTAGCTCAAAGAAGGTGTATTTAAAGGTAGCATATCTAAACTTTGAGCAACACTGTCATCTGTCATCACTCTTTAATTTAAAAAAATGTAAAAAAATATTTGGACTCAAAGCTCACAGTGGCAGCCAGAGAGGATGTGTGCTTTTATTGGATAAGATACTCAGTATTTTTTTTAACTAATTCAAATTCTAAAATATTTTACAGTAAATAGGAAGTGGTTGGCTGGTGGCTTCTCTGGCTGCTGAATATTGTTCTTGTAGTCTCAGTTCCAGCAGCTTAATGCCTCTATTAGTGGGAAGCTGAAGCGCCGCATGTTGCCAAGGCTTTCAGAGCCAGTTGGCGTGTTAGCGGGGGTGCTTTAACTGATATTGTATTCAGAAACGTGTCTGTTTGTGGGTCCTATTCTTAGATGCAGATTTGATAGTGAGAGACTGCAGTGCTGTTGATGTGCTGGTTAGCAACCCCCCCTACCTGTTCACTGAGGACATGGAGTCTCTGCAAGAAGAGATAGTCAGGTACTGAAAACACACACCCAGATACAGTGGACCACACTCATTAATACCAAACACAGAGATATTTTATAAGTGACAAATTCTAGGGGAATTCCATAGATAAAAAAAAAAAAACGTCTGCATGTTTCAGTCCTTTAGATGTAAACAAAGTCGTTCAGAGGGATTTGATGTGAAATGCCCTATTCTAGAGAAACTTCAGGAAACAGATGTCTGAGGTGTTTAATGCCTCTGAAAGCTCCCTTGTAGGAACTATACATGAAATTACAGTATATTATTGATATTTTATGATTAGTATTTGATGTTCCCTTAAAACATCTTTAAACATCCCCTGATGTCTAGCGTATAGTATTTCAGCCTACACCGCTCTTTGATGAACATTAAGCTTACAGAGTTACAAAATATACGCAAACTGTTTGCAAAGATCAGCTTTATTGTAACAAAACTATTGCAGATGTTTTTTGTTACTAAACCCTTTTAATCTGCCTGGTCACTGATGTGACCAAAGTTTTTAGACTGTGTTGCTCTGAAAGAGTTGTTAATTAGAATATGTGTTTAAAATGTGTGTTGATTTAAAAAAAAATGTTTTCCACTTAATGGTCAATTGTGAATTAAATTATATTGATTATATTGTCTTGCTTTCATTTCACATTTTCAAGTAGGTGGTGTAATTGGTCACATGGCCAGAGCCATTTATTTCAGGAAAGATGAGGTCTACAAAAATATGTTAGAATATGTCTGTAACTACCATATTTTGGTACAGCTAATCTTTGAAAGGTCTATTATTGATATTTTAATAAGATGGTACGGCCAAGGTGACCTAATAAAGATGCATGCAGCTTCTATTTTTTTACATAATTCACTGTTTATCAGTTCACTTATTTCAATTATTACATTTATTATTATTTTGTGTACAATTTCAATTATTAACTGTGACCAAGAATTAAACTTCTTTCTAAAACTTTCTGAAAAGGCATGTACAGTCATAGTAAAAGGTTTGAACACCCCTGGTTAAATGACACTTTGTTGATTTCCTAAGGGAAATAAATTAACTTAGCCTCTACAGAGAAAACACTTCTACACATTTTAATGCATAGCTACTGTTTATTCGCTTAATTTAACATACTGGAAAAAAATAAAACAAAATATGGCCTGTGAAAAAGTTATGCCACATTTTATATTTTACATTTTTTTTTTTTTTTCCAAATATGTTAAACTCAGCAAATAAATAGAAGTTGTACATTAAAATTAACAGAACAATGCCATAGGATGCGTTAACTTATTTTCATTTGGAAAATCAAAAAATGTGTAATGTGACTGGGAGTGTTCAAACTTTTGCATATGACTGTAGTTTGTGTCATGTTGCTGTTGAAGGAGTGCAGTTCATGAACTCATAGAGCTCAGAATAAACTGTGATGAAATGGGTGAAATGAAAAGAAGATAGAAAAAACACAGAAAATGTCAAAAGAAAGCGAGGTGTCCCTAAACTTTTGACAGGTGTCATATCTCTTCCCTTCTGCAGATTTGAAGACCACTCAGCACTGGATGGGGGTTCGGACGGCATGACAGTAATAAGTCAGATTCTGACTCTAGCACCCAAACTCCTCACAAAGGACGGGTAAGAGGGAGTGTGTGTGTGTGTGTGTGTGTGTGTGTGTGTGTGTGTGTGTTGCTCGCTCAGTGAATATGATCTAGTGTCTGTGGCCTAGAAGAGCAGTGGAGTATAAATAGCTTGGCTCTAATCTAGCTAAGGAGCTTTCCCAGCACTTCTTAAGCGCTTCAGGGAATCCATGCTGCTCACACTTCTCCACGCTTTCATGGAAGCAGATAAGAGTGTTCCAGGGATCCAGGCTTTCTCCCAGTAATTACCCCACAATACTCACCACCGCACGCTGCATGACTGGCCATTGGTGATGACTGAGTCTGGCCTGTGTAAAGCATTTTATTCTTGTGAAATTACACATTTAAAAAATGGCTAACCTCCTGTCATACAAGCCTGAAATTAACAGCTTGTGTTAGAAAGAGAGAGAGAGAGTGTGTGTGTATGTGTGTGTGTGTGTGTACATGTGTGTCATGACTCAGAAGTGAGTGTGCACTCTCTGTGCTTTCAAGTATTCCTTTAGTCATTTATGTACATCTTTTGTGTCATACAAGCATAATCACTCTCATCTAGTGAATCTACTGAAATCTGTTGAAATGTAGTTTTCATTCACTGAAACGGCACTTTCTCCTTTTTCTTAGATACATATAAATATTTGTGTTTTATTTAAAAAAATCTTGCATAAGACATGAGTCTCCCTGTTTTTTTAATCATAGGCCTTTTCTAGCTGTTCCTGTGATACAATCTCTTTCATACATCATACATCCTCTCTGCTTTATCTTCTTTCCTGCCGACTCTGCCTCTTTATCAGTCGTGTGTATTTGGAGGTGGATCCACGCCATCCTGCCCTGCTAAAGCATCTGGTAGAGCAGAGGAAGCTGGGATTGCAGTATTTGGAAACACGCTATGATTTCACCAACAGGTCAGAATTACCAAGACATATCAGAAATCGGTTTGTTTGCCTTAAACTACTGAAAACTATTTTATAATCTGTAATTTCCCAAAATATCAATTTTTTAAATTTGTAGTCTATCAGCCAAAACAGTTCTGGAGGTTCTTTAATGTAGATGAATGAACTAGGATAATATAGAACATCGAGGAAATTGTGTAAATATGTAGACACCTGCTCATCCCATTTTTTGTCCCATCCTGAGGGAGTTTGTCCCTCCTTTGCTGCAGTAACAGCTTTTACACTAGGTGTTGTAACATTGCTGTGAGAATTTGGTTGTATTCAGCCACAAGAACATTAGTGAGGTCAGGTACTGATGTTGGATGATTAGTTCTGGATCACAAATGCCACATCAGCTCATCCCCAAGGTATTGGATAGGGCTCTGCTTCTCCACAGCCTGAAGCTGGGGCCTTTATGCTCCTCTAGCCCACACATGGCGTTGGACATGGTGACTTCAGGCTCATTTTCAGCTGCTCCAGAGCATCCCATTCTATTAGCAGTGCTTTTCTTTGTAGGTTATATAAGCTGTGTACACAATTCGACAGCTGTTTTGATAATAGGTGCACCTTAAAGTACTGAATTTACAATTAGAAGGGGAGCCTGGATACTTCTAGCAGTTTGCATGATGATGATGCATATTTTAAATTCTCATAGTGGTAAGAACGAAACAAAGCCTGACAGACACATTAACATGCATCTTTGGCATTTTTTAATACATCTTTTTATGAAGTTTTTTAAAACAGGGGTGTCCAGTCTTTGCTGCAAATGGCTGGTGTTGCTGCAGGTCTTCATTCTAACACATGATCAATTGATTGAAGACTTAGACCAACTGATTAATGAGTGGAATTAGGTGAACTGCTGCTTTTTTGAAATGGAAACCTTTGCATGCAAGATTTGACATTGCTGTTTTAAAGGTGTCCTAGTAGGTGTCCATGCCGTATCATTATTGATGTAATATTGACCACTTATATGGACGATTAATCAAGTTACCAGTATATCAGAATTTCCAGAAAAGGCAAAACAATAAAAGTGTACTTAACAATAACAAACCATGCACAGCCTTTGCAGATAAGATTGGATGCCACTCTTTAAAAGGCTTCACAGTCTGTTTTTATCCAGTAATGCTGAACATTTGAAAGGCTGGCTTGGCTTGTTAATGTTCAGTTACATGTGTATGTATGTTTTAGTATGTTTTATTTTTCAGCTTTTTTATATTCTTACTACTTGATTAATTTTCTAAATATTTGGTTGATAATATATCAGTAATAGTGTGGCATCCCTGGCAGTGGGGTCAGCCATCCTTGTCTGGGAGTCCAAAAGATGATAATGGGCCTCTCCTCTCTGGAATAATGTCCAGTGCCCAGACAAATCTCCGGTGACCTCCCAACTTGCAGACTTGCTGACTTTTTCTTTTTCCTCACATGTGAAACTATCCACTGCAACTTCTCAAACTGCCACTAATGCAACATCATTGAATAGCTGAACACCCTTGGAGGAGAAAACTAACAATTCTGTCAGCCAGCAGAGGCCTTTGCTGGCTAGCTTTGCATTAAGAGCTTTGTGTTCTCTTGGCCTCCTGACCACAGATGGTTGTGGCACATCTTCTCTGGTTGTGTTAATTGTGAGCTGGCAGACACATGGACATAACATTCTTCTAGGCTGTAAAGGGCATAATGCAGGATTTCTGTGAACTTCCAGAGGGGCCGCTTTGGATGCAGGCTTCAGCAGGCTTGTGGAGTTACCCAAAATTCTCAATAAAACACAGGTGATGACATAAAACATGAAGAGTTCCAAAAAATAATAAATACATTTTTTTAAACAAAAGAAAAATGTCTTTTGAGATAAAATAATACCCAATTCATGTGCAGATATGCAGAGTTTGGCATCAGTAACAGTGACGGAGATTTAGAGTGGGCACATAATTGGCATCACTCTATCTGGGTGGGTAGGATGGCCCTCCTTCTTTCCCCCATGACTCAGCATGATGGGAGCCAACGCAGGTGTCTCTTGACTGACGTAACAGAATTAGCAGTTGCCATTCTCCTCCAAGTGTGTTAAGCTGTCCAGTGATGCTGCGTTAGCGGCAGTTTGAAAAGATGTGTCTGGCTTCATGTGACGTGCAGGATGTGCTAGCCTTTACCCTACCAGCTTGCAGCGTTGTGTCAAAGGGGACCTAGCTAGTGGGTTGACACTGACCATGACTAAAACTGGGGTACAAATCCAAATACATACATACATATACAAATAATCAATCATTTGATCACTCAGTGATATAAAGGATAGTGACATAGATGGATTGGAATGGAATGGTGCTCTGGAAACCTGAGTGCTCTATATGAGTGTCGTTTGAGTCTGGATACATATGTTAACTCTTAAAACTAGCAGGTTCAGTTCATAGCATGTTTCAGAACACTAAATGAGCCTTCTTAGCTTTCTGTGGTATTCTAGACACCACACCGGTCACACGATACACTCATATGCATGTGATCCTACCGGACAATTACAACCACGCTTTGTCTAGGCAAAACCATGAAGTAATTAAAAAAGAATTACGCTCATTCAGAGATATCTGCCCATGCCACATTCCCTGTTATCTCACATGTAAAGGATAGTGTCTCTAAGCATCAGATAAACAAGTTACAGTAAATATTTGTACTAATGATCACCGCTGCTTTGCTTGTCTGTTGGTTTTACAGGCCGCGATTCTGCATCCTACAGAGAAGAGAACTAGACTGAAATGCTAAAGAGAAATGCTTTTGCGTGAGAAAAAGGCACAGATTGTGTAAGAGAGTGAGCTGAGGTACAGGTTAAGGAAGAGAGCAAGATGGACAGAGAGAGCGCATAACTTGGAAGAAAGCTGATATGGAAACGATGGATGGAGTCACCGCTATGAAGGATCTGTTTCTGAGGTCTCCTGCCAAAGTGCATTACTTGCATCTCAGCTCCCATCATAAGCTTCCCTCCTCTCGTCACGTACTGAGATTTTTTGAAGAGTTAAAGGGCCCATATCATGGAAAATAATGCTCACTTCTTTCGCATGAGTTTGAAACCTACCATTCACTCTTCAGTCCATACAGTCCATATACAATTGTATGCACAAGTTTGAACAGCCCCAGTCAAATGGCACGTTTTGTTGATTTTCTAAGTGAAAATAAGTAACACATCCTCTGCAGACAGCACACTTAAATATGGCATTTTCTGCTAATTGTAGTGCACAATTTCTATTTTTTGTTTTTTGCTGAGTATAACACATTTGAAAAGGAATAAAATATAAAATATAATATGAGCTGTACCTTTTGCACCAGCCACATTTTATGTTTTCTTTTTTTCCAATATGTTAAATTTAACAAATAAACAGTAATTGTGCATTAATGTATGTAGAAGTGTGTTCTCTCTAGTGGATGTGTACTTATTTTCACAATTTTGCATTCGACTGTACGGAAACTAAGCTGCCAAACAGCCAGTTTGTAGTTCATCTGTTGTTATAAAAAAACAGCTCATTTACCTACATCCACCTATTTAGGCTACGGTAGTTTAGCTCCTCCCATTTGTGTTAAAGCGAGTGAGGCACAGTACAGGGCAGCCAATCAGAACAGAGGACTTTTACTTATATCCGTCTTAAAGGCACGGTAACAAAAACAGCCTGTTTTTGGTATAAAGGTAGGTTCGAAAATGTTCAGTAGTGAATTATAACGTTTTGGTACGTAAACCCATACATGACTGGACCTGTGGAAAAATAAATAAATGCAAGAAAAACATTGGCTACCTTCAAAGGTGTGATTTGTAATCCTGAAATGCGTTACAATGGAAAAGCAGACTCATGAACGTGCATCGACTTGACTATTGGACTTCTCACTCTTTTCTAATTCATACAGACCATCTGCACTGAATTAATGGAACTCACTGCTATTTTTGAATGCTTTGAAGCTTTGAAAGGTATGTTACCTCACGTATACTTTTATCTTGGTGTAATAAAGGGCTGATTTAAAAGCAGTGAGAAATTCCTAAAATAATTCACACCATTTCCCATCCAGGAACATAGAGTTACAGGTTTCAATTCCAGGCAGGTCTCCGTGTCAGAGGACTGGAGATTCTAAATTTCCTCTGACTGCTGCAGCTGTGCACTTCAGCAAGACACTTAACTTTAATTCACAGCAGGTGGGCTAAAAAAAAGAAACAGGCTCCAAATGGCACTGTGTTCTAGCAGTAGCTCTTATTTCAGATTGCTGTTACTAATACAAACAGATGCTGGAATTATGAGGGTTTCATTCATAAAAGAAAACAGGACCATAATGCAGGTATAAAATATGCTTTATGTAACAAATATACTTTATTTTAACATTGTATTATTTTGTCTATAAAAAATGCAGTTCAGAGTGGTTTTTATTTTGATTGTCCACTATTTTCTTCCCATTATATTGCAACCAGTTCCCAGTGTAGTCAGACTGGTTGCTTAATTGTGCTTTAAACAGGTGTGCCCTTTGGAAAATCACATTCTTTAAGTTACCATGTAATGCCACTTGGGCTTGTAAAGCATGTCAGAAACTGGTATTGCATCACTAAAAGTGACGCAAAAAGAAAGGATCTCTATGGGAATCCTGCTGGATGAGCCGGGCAGCAGGCTTGGACACCCTCGTATTGGTTGCAACATGCCAAGCACTGGCCCTTTGGCTTGATTAAGATGGCTCAGTGTCTTTAGCATGATTAAATAAGGATTTTAAAAAATATATTTTTTTTCCATTTTCAAGACCCACACAAAATTCTAAAAGGCTTGTAATCTTGTACAATATCTGGCAGCCCTACTACTTAACGGTTTCTGTTGTTATGATTGTCGATTGTTTTTTCTTATTTCCTTCGCAACCTACTAGCGCAGTGCCTCCTACACTTTGCATATCTGGCTATGGGTTCTTGTATGTGGCTGTGGTTTATTGTGGTGAGACTGCATTTAGTGCGTTTGTGCATGTGAGAGAGAGCGTGTGTGTGTGTGTGTGTGGCAGGGTGCAGTAGGCTGAAGGTAATTATTGAGGCCTTTTCTGAGAACTCCCCCTCCCGATGCTGCACTACCCTCTCCCTGGAAGCAGTGTGTGCATTCTGCGAAACAGCTGGCGGCCTGCCGCACACTCACTCGCTAGCGAACAAACACACAGACACAAACACATATTCCCAACAATACTGTTTAAAGTGTACACTTCTTTCTAACTGTTACTGTGAGTCATTACATGCAGGCTAGACTGTATTCACTTATAAAAGGGTTTGTAGCAACTTGTGATTTAAAAAAAAAGTTTAATAACCACTATAGTTGATATTTCTGATGTAAATACAGTTACAGTTATATATAGAAATGAAGTATCTCTGACAACAGCTTGAAGAAAACTGCTAGAGTGGACGAATGTAGAGAAAACCTAAAATCTCTTCTATGGTTCTCCATATATTTATGTTGCCAGTGCATTTATGTAAGCTTGAGCTGCTCAGATATATAAAATTTCAGAAAAGCCCTGCTTTGCTTTCTTGGAAATTCTAATCACGATTTTGCCGAGAAAGACCTGTGGTCAGGGAAGAGGGAGAAAAATGATCACGCTATCATTCTCTCTCTCTTTCTTGTTAGTTAAATATCACTATCCCTCTCTCTTCCATGAATTTGATTGCCACATTCACTTTTTTTCCGAAGTGATAGGCTTGGAAGCCACAAAATCCAGACTGTTTGTAAATAGGCTGGTGAACAGGATTGCAGCTTTTCCACTGTACTTTGTGATGCATTTTTTAATCAAGTTGATTTAGAAAGAAAAGCAAATTAAATTCAATTTAAAACTATTTTTTTATTTAACAATTTAGTGAAGTCAGATTACTTGACCAAAATGTTGTTTTGTGCCCTGTAATATTCAGTTTTAACATTTACAAATGCATATTTGAGTAGTATTTATTTTGAATAAGAGGAATAACATTTGTATAAAAAGGAATGAACTTCTGGTGAACCTCTCAGGATCCTTGTTTTAATGTGTTTATGACACTGATTGTGCTGTAGATGGCTCTGTGAGTGGACAGCCAATTTGTTCATCCACGTATGCATTTACTGAAAAACCAATACCTGGAAGACGAGGAATTCAGCTTGATTCTCTTACGTATTAATGTGTTTCAGGTCATTCCCTTTCCCAGAACGCTTTCTTTGTTTTCCCAGAGCTCTATATTGGGTAAAAAAAATCTCTGACTGGTTTATCACTGCGTAGTTCCCTGTGTCCATATGTTTCATTTCTCAGCATTTCTCAGAATTGCCTTTTTTACATTCTTTTCTATCCAACCACAAACTGGAATAGACTATGGGCTTTAAGTCCTACTATTTTCACCAAGACTTTAAGATGTTTAAAAAAAAAAAAAACACTGTAAAAAATAATTTGCTCTTTTACGTTTAAAACAAGTACATATCCCTGGTTTCCTTACATGTCCAGTTAATTGAAATGCAGATAGAAGGTTAGACACAGGTGAATATTTCAACACTGGGAGATCTACTAAAAGTACTAATAAAAAGTGTAAAGAATTTTTTTCACATTTTTTGTGTATATCGTCACTGTCCAAAGAAAAACACGTATCTCCAAAATGGTAGCTTTACAGGAGAAAGCACAAACGTTCTTAGCTTTTAATGTAAGTTAATGTAAAGAGATTTTATTCCAAGAAATTTTGGAGCATTTCTGCTGGTCCGTTCATCATAGAATTATCACAGTGTAAAGGACAGCTGCTGTGTACAAATGATACAGAAAAATACAAATCGCCAAAATTAGAGCTAGATGTGTTTTTTTTTTGGACGACGTCGACGACATGTAATCATTTTCATGGTCAGACCAAAGGAAATCAGATAAACTGGAAGGACTCGAAAGGCTCAATAAAGTTAATTTTTATTACAAAATGAAAAGGATCTTTGTCCATAAATATATACAACACCCACATTGTGGGGATAGAAAAAAATAAATTAATCTGGACTGATTAATATAGTCAGATATACCAGAATGTATTTCAACAAGAAAAAAATGAAAAGGAAAAAAAAAAAAAGAGAGAGACAGGGCTTCGCCTGAATGTGCCTTGACGGTGTCATGTTTCAAGCTGTACAGCTCACTGACTGCTTCACACTCTATACTGTCTCTCTAAGAATCTCTTAAATATGTGACGTGATCCTATGCAAAGGCTACAGTGCAGGGAGCAACAAACCCATGGCGAACTCCAAATCTTTGTCTTTACAAAGTCCACCCAGCATCTCTGGTATAATGACATTTCTATGAGGGAACAAAATTCTTCTCTCCATTTGCACCGAAGAACATTAGCTTGGCTGCAAACTTCTTTCTCACCTATTTGTCATTCGCAAGTCCATTAGGTTCCATTACAGTTCCAGACAGTCGGTTCTTGGAACAAAAAGCTTAATTTAACTCTAAAAAAGTGTTGGCCAGAGCATAAATTAGGCTTAACAATCAATGGAGAGATTGTTCTAGAACATTACAAATAGCCACCACTGGACTGGGAGCCAAAAGCCCCATTTTTTCTGGAAGTGCGCTTTCGACTGATTCCCATGCCTGCAGGGTTGACTGGCATGACGTCAGTGTCCTCTCCTTTTAGCCTGGCATGTGTTTGTCATGGTATTTTCAGAGTTGGAAAGGGTAGTCCTGTAGGTACTGGAGTAGTGGCCTAGGTAGAGGCAGGTTTTCTGGGCAGGATGTGTAGCTGTTGATGGCCAAGCGTGTGAGATGTTGCAAAGAGGGGAAAGCTTGGGGACGGTGGAGTGGACGTTTCAGCTTTAGTAGCACCGCACATTCCTTAGGCACCGGAGGCACTTTGGAATCCTTCTCGTCCTCCTCGGACGCCTCCTTTCCTTTCTTGGAGCCCACGTAGTGCTGCACGAGGCTGGGCACGTCAGGAAAGGAGAGCAGCCTGGTTCTGGTCGGGGAGCTGGAGTCCAGACGGAAGCGTCCGTGGCTGTACTCGATGCGGACATTGGTGGGCCCGCGCCCTGTTTTGACAGACAAGGTCAACATGTAGAGCGGGTGGCTGCTGTCCCTCACCAGGAACGTGCCCTCCAGTGCCCCCTGAAGGACAGAATGGGCCTCGCCAGCAGTGATGGCGCCCCAGTACCACCCTAAAAAAAACAAGAACAGAAACCCTCTTTCATCAGCATCAGCTGCAAGACAATAAAACATCCTCCGCAGTTTCTATATCTCTACACACCTACATCATATCTGAGCTGTGGTCTAGAGAACTTCCTCTACAGTTTGGAAGTCATTTTTGTCTGCATAACCTCATTTCAACAAACATGAAGCACAACAGGTTCACCCCCAAGAACATAGCAAAGAGCTTTGGACCTTTGAGTGGGGTTGGTCTATGTGAACAAGCAGCCCCCCCCACCCAAATCAGGCTATCCTTGTATAGGTATTGGGACACCTACAGGAGCTTTTATGACATATCATTCAAAATTCATAGGCATTAATGTGGAGTTGCCCCACCTTTGCAGCTAAAACAACTTCCACTGTTCTGAAAAGCTTTCTACAAAATTTTGGAGTGTGTCTGTGGGAATTTTTGCCCATTCATCCAGAGAGGGCCTGACTCGCCATCTATGTTCTAGTTCATCCCAAAGGTGTTCGATAGGGTTAAGGTAAGGGCTCTGTCTTTATAGACCTTGCTTTGTGCACTGGGGCACAGTCATGCTGGAAGAGAAAAGGGCCTTCCCCAAACTGTTCCCACAAAGTTGGAAGCATACAACTGTCCAAAATGTCTTGGTATACCGAAGCATTAAGATTTCCCTTCACTGGAACTAAGGTTCCTAGGCCAACCCCTGAAAAACAACCCCATATCATTATCCCTCCTCCACTAAACTTTACAATTGGCACAATGCAATCAGGCAGAATACCACAGACTATGCTTCCACTGCTCCAGAGCGGCGATGTGCTTTACACCACTCTAACTGACGCTTGGCAATGTAAGGCTTGCATGAAGCTGCTTGGCCATGGAAACCCATGCCATGAAGCTCCTGGTGCAAAGTTTTGTGCTGATGTTAATGCCAGAGGACGTTTTGAACTCTACAGTTATTGAGTCAGCAGAGCGGTGGCGACTTTTATGCACTATGCACCTCAGCACTCAGCGAGCCTACTCTTTATGTGGGGTCGCCGAGTGCTAAGTAACTTTATGTGGTCTGCCACTTTATGACTGAGTTGCTGTGATTCCTAAACAATTCCACTATTCAGTAATGCACCTCACAGTTGATTGTGGAAAGTCTAGGAGGGAAGAAATTTCAGGAAACTGATTCGTTGCAATGGTGGTATCCTATTACAGTATTACAGCCAAATTCAGTGAGCTCTTTAGAACGACCCATTCTTTCACAAATGTTTGTACAGGCAGGCTGCATGGCTCGGTGCTTGATCTTATACACCTGTGGCAATGGGACTGAATGGAATAAATCCAATGATTAAGATGATTAAAAGGTGTGTCCCAATACTTCTGTCTATATAGTGTGCATGTATTTTATATATATATATATATATATATATATATATATATATATATATATATAAACCCAATGAGTTTTTTTTTTACCTGATGCATCTAGATAACAGAATGTGCTGGCAATGGCACGCAGATCTTTGGAGGGGTCCCATATCTTGGTGGTGTTGTGAAGACATCTTGGAGAAGAGGAAGAGAGGACGGACACCCCAAGAGGAACCACCTGAGTTTGAGAGTCTGGCAACAGTGCTCTTGGACTGAAAAGAAAGAAATGAGGAAAAACAATAATAATTAAATAGAATCCAAACAAATCTTTTGGTCCATTAAAATATAAAGGCTGACACTGTTGTTCACTACGGAGCCAGTATTTTTAGGGCTAAGAAAAATCAAATAATCACAGCGGATTATCAGAGAACCACTTTACAGAGAACAATACATCATTGTTCCCCTCTTTGTCCTGTTCTTGGATAGCCTGTCCCTGTCTATTGATTTACTGCGTCAAACAGGCAACTCAATCTGGGACAAGCTAGAATAGCCTACAGTATTTATGATATAACCATTGGTAAGGCTTATTTTTAGTAAAATAAAAAAAAATGCAGTAAACAAAAGACATTCTATTAACAGGATGAAATAATAAAGCAATTAAATTACAGCTTAGAACTGTGAGTCTTCCTAACGACACTGCTTTTTTAGGTCAAGCCTATTGGTTTTCCTGCAGTTTTATTTATGTCACTGAAAGCTATAGCTTTCGATTTGGTGAAGCCTACAAGCGCGACTCTTCTGGCATTTTCGTCGTAAGAATAAAATTATCGAATCCTAAATCTGAACATCAAGCTTCATAGGTAGAACAGAGGACAATGAGAGGCAACTTTATCCTAAAATAAAGACAATAAAGACGCCAAAGCGCCAGGTGAACTAAGCAGTGTCTCTAAGCGCTCTTCGACTAGCCTGCATTAGCGACTAAGGTGTGAACAGACTCAATGAATCAGACCGTCGAGTGAATAATGACAGTTTAAGCCCACTCACATCTGTTTCCATTCATACTGCGTATAATCCGACTGAACTCACCCTTGAACGCAGAGAATCATCGTTGATCTTTAAGTCGGAATCCTAAACGGTCTCTGAAAGTTTCTTATCCGCTCCTGAGGGGTCTAGTTTGCCGTGGCTTCAAAAAAATGTAAGTCCAGCCCTGAGGGCTCTGCGCGTCTCAAACCGGATCCTCCTCAGCTGCGTCTCTGCTCCGTTGTGTGAAAAAAAAGGCAGACCGTCGTTATAAAAGGCTCTGAAGATACTAATGAAGCAGGAGCTGAGCTGAAACGGCTGCGGACATGGTTTGTGGAAATGAAAGGTGTTACGCCTGTTAATATCCTAAAAGTGAACGGATGAAACCCTGTAGGGTTTGGCCGCCGGAGCTCGCCTCACTTCCAGGAAGGCTTTTTTCTCGGAATCGTCTCTGACGCGAGCGCGAGCCTCCCTCTCACTCACACATTCAGTGAATCATTTCCAGTAGGCGAGCGGGTTTTTTTTTTTAAACTCAGTTCTCTCAGAGACTTTAGAGACACACAGTCAGGCGAGTTCTGTCATGACTAACTGGGGGATTTATTGGTGTGCGGGACACAGTTTAGCAGTTCTGTCAGACAGCCGTATGTCAGCGCTCCCTCAGCGCTGTTAGCGTTACAGGCTTTCTGCCCAAAAGCCTTCTCAGAACTTTCCAGGAAAACGCAGCATGCAGCCGGCCGCAGCCAATCAGCGCGCGCTTTGCGCCTTTGCAGCTCCGCCCCCACATCGTCGCGCCTGGCTTACAGGGGAATTCCACCGATTTTTCAGAATTTAACCACAATCCAGTTGCTGAGATGTAAACAAAGTCCTTTAGATTGTTGAGTTAATTTTGAGTTGAACTTCTAATAGTAACTCAAGAAAAATCAGTGACACACATCCTGTTAACTAGTATAACTTTAGCGTCAACATTACGTATAAAACTCAGCTTTACTGGTTGTTTGGATAACAAACAGAACATCTTTGCATTGTACATATAAAGACCCCTGGTTCCTATCACTAACACTGAGAGGGAGGTCCATTTTCCTAGTATGGACAATTTTCTTCAAAACATTACGTGCCTTTCATTACTGGTCAACGAGTGCTTTATGCTGAAAATGAAAAAAGTGGAATTCCCCTTTAACTTTTTTTTTTCTTTAAGCAGATCGCTGAATGGAGAGCTCTGAGGTAAGTGAGGTAAAGCCATTGCTAGAGGACGGCAAATCTGTACTAACTAAAGCCAGACTGGTAAAACACTGTTTCTTCAATCAAATAATGGCTAAAATAAAAGTAAAGTACCTCACAAAAACAACTTAAGATGGAGAGAGAGTATTAGGTCAAAAACTTCGCAAGGACTGAGTTCCCAAAAGAACTGTAGTAAAACGTCTTACTGCATCCAGCATCAGCACTGGAACTGAACATTTGGTTCTACAGAGAATAATTATTTGCTTTTAAAGATTGTTTTGGTCCAAAATTAAATGCCAAAGCTCAAATGTAATGGATGTGAGGAACAACAGGACAGAATGAAACTGAACACAATAAAAGGAAGTGAATGACTGTGAATGACGAAGACTGAACTGATTAAAAGTACATTCCCTCACAAAGACATTAACATTTCAAAATACTCAGAAAAGTACAAAATCGATCATAATATGACTCACGGCACTGACATTTACTGCCACATTACGGCTGTGAATGAGACGTCTGTAGAGCAGAAGATGTTAACCCCTTTTAATCCCAGGCTTATCACATACTAAGGCTTATTATTCAGCAGTGTGTGAAAAACTCCTCGGTATTTGGGGTCCCATGTTGGCTGGATACCCCCAGCGTTGGCTCACTGCTAACTTAGCTTTAGCAGCACTGGTGCTAGCTTCAGTGACAACACAATGTTTGGCTCAACAGTTCTTCTTTTGGAAAGGCTATTTTCTGGGTTAGTAATGCACTTTTCCTCACATTAATTAATGAATTGATTATTAATTAACTTACTCTTTATTAATTCACTCTTTACACCAATCTCTTGCAAAACTGCAAGTTTTCAGCTTTACGATGCTACGGCATATTGTGAAGTTCTTCAAAGGTATCCTGAGCATATTTACAGCTGCAGGACTATGAAGAACCAACAGGGTGAATTAATTTACTACAGCGCCACCCTGAGGCCCTTTAGTGCTACATAGTTAGTTAAGAAGACAGAAGCATAAGAATTTTGATATTGAGACATTCAGGGGGGGCATATTTCACACCTTGGTTCAGTGACAATAAGGACCTCATTGCAAACTGGCTGAGCTGTAATTGCTTTGGGCCTGCTGGGGGACCCTGGCCATTTAAGGGGTTAAAGGATGTGGTCACTGTGTCCCATGTATAATAGTGCATAGCACCTCCCAACTGACCGCTGCTCTGCTGCTTCTCACTGGGCTTAAACTCTGTCTGATTGGGTGGTCAGTTAAGCTTCTTAAATCTCCTTTTCAAAATTAGAAACTCCCTGTAGAGTCACGTGTTCATTCTAATAATATTTTGAACAACAGTGTTATTGCCTTTGAATTTTTTGAGGAATGGTGAGTTTCTCAGCCTTAAAGCTATTAGCAAAGTGGTGGTCTACATAAATAATAATGATGGGCTACAAAGTTTTAACATGGTCTGTGCTGAAAAAACAGCAAACCCTTTCTTTAAGAGCTACAACTCAGCTTCAAACAGAGGAAATGACTACACACAGCAGACTGTGATCATTTCAGCTCCCCACAGGCAACACATAACCCCAAGCATGCATGAGATGCTCTTGTTGGTATTGCCATCTGGAGGTCATTGACAGTCTCCAAACCTGGTCATGCTGTCCCGTGTCAGACTGTAGCCTGTATCCCAAACAGAAGCGTGCAATAATGTTTACTTAGTTACAGGTACTTAACCCTCTATTGCATGATGTTGCCTCAGGGTAACAAACCCAATTACCTCACTTCGCAATGACGTGATACATATTTAATGACCACGAAAGGGTAAAGGGTAAAGGAATTATTAATGAAGGGAAGAGTTTGGATAAGCCAGAAAAAAGCTTGTATTTGTGGATGGTACACATTTCTGCACCAGATAATTTGCCTTAGAAAAGCATGTATTTAATATGATTCACATCTGTTAGAGTGTGAAATTTTAATAGTCAGTATCATATAAATAATTTTTATTTGTTATGAGAAAATGTTGCAATGATCAGGTCCATTTAATGCAAGAAAAATCAATCAAACATTTTAACATTGCTCTCATTATGAAATGTGGGGTTAAATAACATTTTAACAAATTTGTACTTTTGTAAGTATAGTTTTTCTAAATGCAAGTTTTAGTATCAGTCTTATTGGTCTAAGCTCTGCTCATATATATATATATACTTCAGTTGAAGTTTTTCGTCCTCTTGAATTATCATTTCATGGAATTATCAACACTACCTGAGTGTAGTTTTAGGCTACTCTGCTCACCTCTGATCCCAAACAATGTTTGTCTAATCTGTCATCCAATGTTCTTTCCTCTTGAACTCGTGAGAGTTCATCTCACTTTCACTTAAACAGTCGTGACAAATCTGCCTGGAAATGGTTCATGAGGTTTAAGTACACATTCTCTACAAAGAACACACTTTCACACACTTTAATACACTGTCACTGTTTATTTGCTGAATTCAACACAGCCGACTAAAAAAAACCCATATAACGTGGCCTGTGCAAAAGTTATGGCACATTTTATGCGTAACTATTTTCCAAAATGTAATAAATTGTGCTCTAAAATCAGCAGAAAAAGGATGAGGTGAGGATTTGATTGCGTTCAGCCACAAGAGCCTCAGTGAGTTCAGCTACTGGTGTTGAATTATTAGTTCTGAATCAGAAACTCTCTAAACTCATTCCGAAGTCTCACCCACTCACTATTGGGAATGATCCACAGCCCAATGCTGGGGAGCTTCATACCCCTCTGACACTTGGCATTGGACATGACTCATGTAGGCTCATGTACAGCTGCTCCAGAGATTATGAGCTGTACAGTTGCACACTTGTGTCAGCATTGGGTGCACCTTCTAGTAGCTGATTTCACTAACTAGAAGGGCTAGAAGGGGTGTCTGGATACTTTCAGACATGCAGTGTGGATATCTGAAGTGTTTTCAAATTCTCCTATAGATCATGGCTTCTATAAAAGAATGATGGTCCTCTAGTGAGCTGTGTTCCTATAATATACACTCATTCAGTTTATTCTCTGAATCAGTCAATGATTTCAGATGTCCTTGAATTTGAAAAAGATGACACGCGGCATACAGAAATATTTTTTATTTGGAATTTCTTTCTCTGATTATTAACAGCTATTTGCACAAATGATATGTTTGACACAAAACACTGAGTGAGTCTGAAGTCTGTGTGAGAAAGAATGAAGCTTATGTGCACACGTGATTAGAATTTTAATGCTAATATGGCAAAGCAAGTCAGGAAATATGCAGTCAGTCCTGTGGAACAGATCTAAAATAGAATAAAAACAGCAGTTCTACCTACAAATATCTATAATGTCTTATTCATACAAGCTTCAGTCACTGCTGAGTCCAGAAGTCTCTGCCAACAGGAGTGCAACATATTTAGTATTACTGTGTCCGTCCTTTAACCAGTTGGTCAGCTTACAAAGAATCTTCTGACATGGTACTTTGTTCATGTGGAAGAGAGATTTGGCTGTTGTTTGTGAGTGTGTATGTATGTGTGCATCTGTGAGAGAGAAGGAAGAAAGAGAGAGAAAGAGTTTCTATTTAATAAGTTACTACTTAAGTTAAAATGCCACTTAGACCTGACCATTAAAAAGTTTGGAATCACTTGTGATAGTTACATTTTTTATTATTTTATATACAAAAATAACTTAGAGACACAATAATGAAGTAGATTTTAAAGTTATTTTACATATTGAATTCAATATTTCAAGTCGCTGTCCAACCCCTCCCCCCAAAAAACATGTATCTCCATTTTTTTCTGTTAATTTTTTTTTCATCATTTGAGCATGCTGTCCTTTACATTGTTACGAAATGCTCCAAAATTGCTTGAAATAAAATCTATTTACTTAACTTACAGTAAATGTAAAGAAGGCTTTTGTCTTCTCCTGTGAAGTTACCATTTTGGAGGTGCTTGTTTTTCTTAGGACAGCAATAATATATTACTTACATTTTTGTCATCTGCCTTGAGATTTGATCTCCTCTTTTGAACTATGACGGGTTTTGAATATTAAACTTTTACAGCTTTTTGTAACAGAACAATGTCTTACAAACTTACTATATATAACAGGTCTAAGGGACATCAGGGGACCTCAGGTGGCAAAACTGCCTAAGAAGCATTTGCCCCAACATTAGGAGAGTGTGAGTTTGAACCATGGCAACACTACAGCTGTCCATAACTGGGAGCCCAATGGAAAGAGTCCCAGGTAGTGGAGAAATTCAGTAAAAAAGGAAAAAATATTCTATATTGTCTACCTGAGATTCAGTATTTTATTCTAGTGTTCTAGGGCTGGCTTTTCACTTCTAACAGTGTACTTTATGAGAATCATTTAATTCTCTTGCCACTAAATTGGTTTTATATCATTGAAAACAGTGATTCCAAACTTTTAAACAGCAAAGTGAGCCTTTTTCTACAGAAAATATCAAGAAAATATCATAAAACGTGACTGAATACATGACTGTTGTATATGTCTGTTTTTTTTTTGTCCATCCTCAGATTATTATGCATATGTGTAGGTGTTTCTCAACTTGTGTCCCCATTTCTGAGTGCATCACAAAATGTGGATAGTTTGTAGAGACATGATGAATTCCTGAGCTTTCTCTTTTTCCTTGTTGATGTGTGCGCGAGTTTGCCAAAAAGAAAGACATCTTATGAAAATGAAACACAAGCCACAGAAGTAAAAATCACAAAAATCACAATCAGGAAGAATACAAACAACTGGAGGCAACGTTCCGGCTTCTTTCGCCCTGTTCCTCACAAGCAAAGAGGCTGCTCGACTTCAGCAGACAGCCTCGGATTCACTGACAGAACGTTCAGTTCTCTCTCTAGCTGTTCTCTCCGTTCTCTCCTCCTCCTCTAATGAGACGCTTGTTTCCTCTCTTGCCTGCAGGGCCGCGGGGTTTGGCGAAGGCCTGCTTGTGAGCGTGCTGCTTAGGATGAACCTCATTGTACAGGTACTCCTCTGTCAGCTCTTCACCACTGTCTATCTCCAACTGCACACACAGAGAAACACACACACACTGGTATTACTATCTGTAGCATTTTCCATTGATCTAAGGCCCATGTGTCAAACACAAAGTCTGCGGGCCACATCCCTTTCTGGCCTGGAGTATTATTTTAATTTTCTGTTAATATTAGCCCGTTTCATTATGGACTGCACTACAATCCCCAGCATGCACTGCAACGTAATGGCCAGCAGTTATACCACAAAAAGACAAGATGCCAGGTGTCTAGTTCAAGCAAATAGCCAAATAGGACAGCCTATATTTGTGCTGTTGTAGTTTTGGCATATTTTGAATAAACAATGGCCAGTTTGGGTCAAAGCAAAATGTTCATTAAAATCAAATAAAAACAATTGCGTTCTCTGGCCCACAGATATGCTGAGATTTTTTAATATGGCCCTTTTAGTGGTTGAGTTTGAGACTCCTGATGAAGAATACAAACTGTTTTTATTCATGTTTTACCTACTTTCCCATTTTTTTTGGAACTGGGTTTTTATAAACAACTATCAACAAGCAATAGTGTGCAAGTCAGGTTTACTTCGTTGACAGTTTAAATATGCATTCATCATTGGGGTTTTTCACTGTTTTTCTCTCTGCTTCCTCACTTGTCCTACCTTGTTTTACTTAGTCTACTTCTGTTTGCACCTACTTACTGTGGTTGTTTTGCTCATAACCACATGAAAGAAAGATACTGCCTGTGTTGTCGGTGACGCTTTGAGTGGTCCTTTTCAGATGAAATAAACACTCAACAGACTCTCAGTAATGTATCAACAACTTATCAATGAACCAGCAGCAGTGGATTCATTCAGTAGATTATGAAGAGACTTTAAGTTAACTGCGTAAATATAAATTGTTTAAAGTCTGCTGAATTCAGCTGTTTTTCACTTTGAGTCTCCAAATTCATATCTGTAGAAGTTTTGGGTTGAGGTTAATTTTAGGGTTAGGATTAGGGCCGGGGTGAGGGTTAGGTTTTGTGTAATGGAGGCAACATATTAAATCTAATTCATGTAATATATAAGCAACACATCTACTGAATGTACGTAATGTATCAACAGTACATCTTCAAGATATTTACCTCAGTGTATTCAGATGCTGCACTACTGCCACTTCACTAATATGTGTTACTGATACTCCTACTTTATTAATCATCTACAAAGGATCACTCAAAGTAGTGTTACTGTGTTTTCAATCTGAAAGGGAAATTTCACTAAATAAATATTTCTGCATAATTCAATCATTGAGACGTAAACAAAGTCATTCAGAGTGTTTTGAAATGGCTCACTGTAGAGAAATCTACTGACTGATTTTTTTACAGTGGTGATGAAAGAACCAAGGCTTTACTATCCAAAACCACCAGTAAACCTACTTGTGTCTTCTGAGTTTTATATTTAATTTTGATGATGGTAAAATAGCAGTAAATCTGAAAAAATAAGGTTTCTTCGGTGACTATTTTGCCTTACAGTGCCCTGCATGCAACTCTCTACCGTGAATGTTTTAGGGCAAAATTTTATCTCAGAAATCTCATAAAACAATGTCTCAGGTATCAGGCAGCATATTTGCAAACATTTTGTGTACTAGCTTTCTGTGAGGTTAGCTTTAAGAGGTTTTAAACTCTTCAGACATCTGGTTGCTATCACCACTGCTGTGAACAATTCTGACACGACAAGTTCCTCTAGAATGGCGCATTTTACATGATATCATTCTGAATGACTTTAAGAATAGTTAATATATAACTAATAATGTCAACTGTTAATAGATAATTCATCCTCCTCTTATGTATGAGAATATTAGATCAGTGTCCTCCTCCTCATCTTATTCAAAAATCAAACTACTGCGCCAGTTGGACCATTATACTCAGAAGCTAAAGGGCCAACACCAAAGTACAGAGCGAGCAGGCAGAGTGAGCAGTACAGACAGTGCGTTTGTACCTTTTTGACCACCGCTATGTGGTAATCCCGCTCCACCTCCTCCAGCAGCCGACTCTTACAGCTAGAATACAGCATCCTCTCCTTAACGCTGCACAGATAACCTGGCATCGAGTAGATGAACACTGAGAGGGAGAAAGAGAGAGAGAGAGAGAAAGAGACACAAGGCAATTATCTGACTAGAGATTTGATTGCCACTCATTGAAATATGAGGCATTCTGGAAACGTATTTCATTTATTAACATTCTTGATGCTATACAGCTTTCTCAGTCATCTAACAATCATCTACAGCTCTCTTCATTATTCTGGACACATCTATAATTACTGCTTATTTTACAGCTTCCTACTAATCACTTAGTAATTCACAGTAATTACTGTGAACATACACATTACATCTATCTGTGACCAAACCCCTTTTATGTTATTGAAAATACCAAACTTTTGACCTGTAGTGTATATGAGGCTGCAGTGAAGGTGCACTGGTTCGTACCCACAGACTCGAGGTAGTCTCCCTCATGGGTGTGTTTGTAGAGGAAGAAGTGGTAGCGGGGCGTGTCTTTGGGGATTCTGCAGGGCAGGTCACGCGTCTCTGTGGGCCGAGTGTGCACCAGCTCAATCGTCTCCTTCTCTGTGTCCAACCTCTGACACAGCAGCACGCACACAGGAGCATTACATAAAATGAAATGTGTTACTATGGGAGTTTCAGACATTTCACAGGTGTTTTGAGTTTTTGTTGTTTTGTAAAGGTAGAACTTTAAAATAAGAATTAACCCATAATGAACTGAACGCATGCTAGTCTTCATGAAATCTGTGCATTGGTCAATATGGGAGCAGGAATGTTTGTGTAAAGGAAATACACATGATTTTTATAGAAAAAAATAATATATGGAGTGTTATATGTATGAAATTTGAATGGGAATTGTCCTGTATATAGTAGGGATACACCAATGTAGGAACTGTGGGACAACGCCGATATCGGATATTTTTCTTGTACATATCTGACAATGCTGATACATAAACATTTATAAAATGTAGAAATTAGCTTTACAGAGAAATATAACATTTATTTCTTCAGGGTTACAAATGCATTTAAATAAAATGAAGACAAAACATTCTCATCGCCAGAGCACAACAAATACATCATCAAATATTAGTTTGATTTGTTAAAATCAATATTGTAAGAAAAGTATCATATCAGTTGGGCTCTTGTAGATTCCTAGAAAGTGTGTGTGTGTTTTGCAGGCTCACCAGCTGAATGTAGTTAATGCGTCTCTCTGTGAGCTGCTGTAGAGCACGCTTGGCCTCCGCCTGCAGCGGAAAGGCCAGACCCTGCAGAGTCTGATGTTTAGTTTCCACACTGATCTCTGTTTTCACCTGCAGAGGGAGACACATGCACACACACACACCATGGATGTAATGATTGTGAGATATTAATTCCCCATGCTCATCTCATTATATGACAGCTGAAAGAGTGAAGTGCTGTCTGCAGGAGCATTCCAGTATAAATTAATGCAGCTGTCAGGCATAATTTTTTCATGGTGGAAACATGAACAACTCATAGCTCACTTTATTTGAAGGACACTGCAGTAAGGCTTGAAGACATGCTAGCATTGACCAAATCCAGCATTTCACCAGCACAGTTGAGAAATAAAGTTGCACGTAGAGCAGGGTCCAAACGCCTGAGACCACTAGTGAAAATATTTCTATTTTACATTCCTTTCTAATTTAATGCAAAGTTTTTTTGATTACAAATTATGTTATCAGCATAACTATTTGAGTGAAATGTAGAATTTTTCGAAAATTTACATGAATTTCCAAATTTCTTAGTATTTGGTATGACACCGTTTTGGTATTTGTCACCAGTGTGCACTCAAGCAGGCATGGACTCCATGAGTTTGTGAGAAAGCCTTTGATGATCAGATCCACCCAAGAGTCGCCTGAACATGAGTTTCAGTTGAAGAGATATGACTGAAAAACATCTGACCTTTTTGTACATTCACCTTAACATGGTCACAGATATGCTTAAATTGGAACAGTGACCTAGAAATAGTGCAGAATCTTGAATATTTTTTCTTCATTCTACTGTTATAAATTTTAAAATGTTCAAAATTCTAAAAGTTTCTGCTGTTTATTTCCCAGTTTCAATGAAAAAAAAATAATAAAATGTGGTCTCAAACTTTTGGATCCTACTGTATTCCCCTAAAACCTTATTTCAAATAACACTATTGTTTGATATATTTTTCTAGCAGTTTTAAATATACTGTATAGTAGGTTGCATTGTATGTTGTACGCAGAATATAAACTGCACACATATTAATTGAATCATTAGTACTGAATCAAGCATTTAGACTGAAGGACCATTTTTATACATTGTTATAAATGCTGAATTTGTTTGCATTGCTGTGTTGAAGGATCGTCCTTTAAATAAAGTGTTTGTAAGAACATCTTCAACACAGTGTGCAAGACACACACACACACACACACACACACACACACAGAACATTAGCTTCACACACTGCCAAAGCCTGTTCAGGACCACACACCTACTCACCTGCTTTACCCTGCCCTGCAAAGACCCAATATTAGAAATATTACCATCTAAATTCACTGTCAGTACTAACATGACAATTATTAATGTTAAATGTTAACAATTAATTAAATTAACTCATTGTTATTTCAATTAAATTCAGTCATTCTAAGGTTAAAGAGCAGGGATTCTTACCTCAGTGATTTTGATTCGCTGCAGCTCCTGTTCAGCAGCTGTGAGTGGAGCCGGGCCGGAACTGGAAGAAACATGACGCAGGTAACCCTGAAGACACACATCATCCTAAAGGGGATGGAAATACAAACCACAGAATGAACAGGCAGGTATTTACTCCTATTCTACTCCTAGTCTTATCTAGCTCTAATATTGATGCATCAAAAGCTGTGCAATTCCTTAAACTATATTAATAAACACACATGATAGAATGGATTTGTAAGTTCATATTTTATATGCCCAAGTTATCCTATCAATATCCTTCAATAGATGACAGTAACGTACTGTGTCATATGTATCTGTATTGACCATGGCTGGTAATTATTTTCAGGAATGTTCCTGGAAGTTTCCCAAGGTTCCATTCTAAATACGTTGGGCCTGTGATCTATTTAATGAACCTGTTAAATTGCAAATAATTAGGTCACTTGCTACATTCATCTTAGATACAGGAGCTATCTCACAATGGAAGGGTTAGCATTGTAAACGTGGCCTTCATGTGGAAGCAGTGATGATACATAGAGGTGATCAACTCAATCAGTACCTTATTTCTCAGATAGATTTGTCGGATAGATACGTTTGTACAGATACATAACGCTGCAGAAAAGCCCCATAAGAGTAAAATCTACATTATAAACTTGGTGGTTGATTTTCAAGATTTTAAACAGGTGGATCATTATATATATATATATACTGTGATGCATGTGTACACTGCATTACATTTTACAGCAACTTATAAACAAGCAAATCATGGCTAAGCACCAGCCTCACATATAACTATAAAGCAGTGTTTAATGCAGTGTTTAGTGTGAAAGCATAATAACAGGTTTCAAATGGTTCCACACTGTCTGTATACCCAGATGAGCAGGACAGCAGGCCACTGTTGGCCCACTGATGGCAAAGCTGGTCGCCCACTGGCTTTTCGCTCAGCATTTTCTGGGCGGCTGACTGGTGGTTAAACACAGTAATATACAAAATTGCCACTCACTTTCCACTCACAGTCCAATTTACTTATTTTTTCTTCGTTTCTTTCATTCATAATTAGTTCAGTACATCATTTTAATTTAGCACAGCATCAGACACATTTTCAACAAAATCATTTTATATTATTTGCAAAGTAATTAATTTTTCCCTGATAGGTGCTCGTAATTGTTTTAGTTTATTTTCCAAAATAAAAGTATATGTGCATTTAAAATCTGTTTAAGGAGATTAAAAACTAGTTTGACCTTGTGTGCAGGACAATAATCTGGGTGGTCCTAGGGTGGACCAGCAGCGGCATACAGTCAGCAGAGTGCTGAACTTATCGAGCCAAAAGATCAATATATGCTTGCTATATTGGCAGTGAGCTACATAGGTCATGAATCTATGGCTTCCATGTCCAGATTCTGCACCAAATGTTGGATGGGATGTTGTGCAGCTTTGACTGCACATTAATGGTTTTGATTAGACACATACTGCACTGTTTGTGTGTAGAAACTGTTAGCCTATATAATAGCCTGTAATTTGTATTACACAGGGAGTATGAAGCCATTTGAGATTTAGCCTATATTTTGCCCAGTTTTGTTCTGCTATTGTTATTGTAGTGCCCAAACGGACTAAGAACACTATCTTACACGAGACAAAAATGCTTAGATAATCAAAGCTTAAAGCTCTGTGTTTTCACTGATACTAGCTTTCCAACTGAGCAAAGAAAACAGTAAAATTCACAGATATTGGGTAATATGACCCTTCTTACAGCTCAACTACTGCCGTAAAACGCTTGCACATATGCAATATGGATTAGTTAGTGCTGGTAATACTTGCAGCAGAATTAAACTGCGAGAAACGTATTTCAATCAAAATGCGCTCACTATTGGTGAGATTAGCATCAGTGTGCAAATCAACTAGCCATGCAAACTTTGTAAAAAGTTTTATTTTTTAGTTTAAACATAGCATACATACTTTTTTTGAATAATGGTCTTATGTCTATAAGCTTTGCTATAAAATCATGAGGTATCACCTTTATTTTTGTTGTTGTTAGCCTTGTAGCCTTTAGCTTGCTAACTAGCAAGCTAGCAGAGTAAACTGATGAAGTTTAATAGGTTATATGGAAGGGCTGTCTGAACTTTTTTTCAAAGAGGGCCCAATCCTCCCATGTCAAAATACCTAAGGGCCAAAATGTTATTCACAACTGATTCAGAATATTACGTTTTCAAAATCACAGTGCATAGAACTGGAGCTTTCTGTGTTTCTTACTGTTGGATTGCTCAGAGCAGTTTGGATCAGGAAGCGCTTATGACAAATAATTAAGAGTTTAAGAGTAACAGTAAAACATGTCTAATGTATTAATTATATTCTGTTTCAAGTGTTTAAATGTTCAAAAATATAAAAATATAAATTTTCAGTTTTGTTAGATAATATTCTTTACATATCAAATAAATGCAGCAACAGCATTCAGAAATCGCTTTATTAAACAAGATCAAACAACATAAATAGCTATGTTATTGTTCCACCTTAAATGGTTAATATTTACTGAACTGCTGAATTTGCTCTGGTAAGTTGGTGCTCTGAGACTCGGGTAGCTGCAGTTACTTTCATTTCTCTCCTGAATATTTCTTGTCCATGCTTTGTTGCATGTCTATTCGTTACAGTCTTTTGAAATATGAGGCACGTACATTTGCTGTGGCTCTCAATGAAAAAGTATTTGAATTTCCATCACTCTAAAATCAGTTCTCAGTGTGAAGTTTGTGCTGTATGTAGTCTTGACTAAAAGTGGTTCAGTAAATGAAGCTGCAGGTCTAGTCAGTGAAGAAAGGCTCTTACACCTTAGCCAACTTTGTTACCACAGTGTGGCGCATTACACTGTAATTTTACTGCTTCCACCATCAGGTGAAGGGAAGAACTGCAGCGTACTGGCTGGCGGGCCACTTGTAACGCACTCTAAAACAAAAGCCGCTGGCTAATTGAAATCTGGCATTCAGCCCTGGGGCTGGACTTTGGACAGCCCTGTTATATGGTGTATGACCTGGAGTAATACAGTCTGCAACATAAAGTCCAGCAAATTGAAGTTCTGGTTTTGAAATATTGAGCATTTTAAAGTTGTTGATTGTTATGGCTTACAAACAGCTTCTTCTGCCATTTTTGTGGAGTTTGATAAAGAAAATGTACCAGTGGGTCAGTTCTTCTGTCAAAGTTGACACTTGTGTTCATTCGATCCTTTGCTCCTTTGAGGACTCATCTAACACACTTCACTTGTGCTAACACAGTAATGGAACGGCTTGTTCCATTCTATAGGATGCAATGGGGTTGGGAATTCCCCTGCTGTTTTAAATATTGTACTTTTATAATGTTAAATTCCCTAAAAATGGAAATACTTTTTCAGCCACTCTTTATTTTTGCTGTAATGGAAAATGTTAAGACACCACTGTATCATATCAATTGATATCAAATGATGAATTCTGTGAATCGTTAAATGTATGAATCGTCGCCTACTTCCACATTGCCAAAGATCTCATCTTTGACATGGCCTCCTCCAAATTCTTTCTTCACTGTTGCACGAGTGGCAGCATACAGCATCTTCTGCCTGACCTACAAAGAGTAAGAGATGTTCACAGAGAAATAGTCTTAATGAATTAGATTACAGTTAAGTTTCAGTGAACAGCAGTGTGATCTGATATGAGTGTCTGTGACAGTCTATATGCATTTTGACTTGGATGTATTACACACTGGAGACTGGTCAGGTGACCAGGAAATGAAGAGCCACTCATAGCCCTGCGCATTCTGGGAGTCTAGGCGGTAGAGGACGTAGCAGGGCTCCTGAGGGTCCAGCAGAGGAAGCAGAAAGTGGTCATAATCTTTCTCCCAGGACTGAGACGGCTCTCGGTACGCCCCCAGCACCAGCTGCTCTGAAACACACAGTAAAGCTCATATCACACACACAGTACAATATAAAGTCCGCTCTGTACTATGCACACATAGAAATACATACACTATGCTACAGTATTTTTCACTTTTCAGTTAAAACATGAAGCAATGGCTTTGAGATTAAAGTGCAGATTTATTTCAGGGGTGTTCTATCCATAGTGAATTGATCTTTTAAGAAGCCCTTTTAGTACAGAGTTCCTTCATTTCTGGGGTCAATAGAACTGAACTGCTGCTGTTTTTTGGGGAAACTTTCTCTTCCTGCTGAAGCGCATGCTCGGTGGAGTTCCGGTTGTGTGAAAGACTTGGCCATTTTACTTGGTGAAAACAGAGTTTCTATAGTAGTTGCTGCCAGGTGGAGTAGCACCTTCTAAGTTTTAGGCTTTTGTATGGACATGTGGAGATTAAACGCTTCTGTAAACTTCAGAATATGGTCACATTATCAGTAAAGAGAATCTGGAGTGATCTGGTTTTAGCTGAAGTCACACATTTTTCACAGATGAAGTGATGTGATTTGGTTCATTAACAGTTTATTTTTTCTCTCCAAACATAACTCTTTCCATCACTCTGGTACAGGTAGTGCATTGAGGCTTATCAGTGGTTTGCATCATGTAGTGAAACCCTCAAGGTCATGCTGGCACGTTCTTCTCGTAGATGTCATATGGCTAAAGATGGACTGATAAATTATAAAACTGCATGAAATTCTGACATATACTATTTGTCCAAACGTTTTTAGACACGCCTACAAACACAAAGACACAGCTGTCCAATACAATGGGATCCACTGGAGCAGCCACACATGAGCCACAACGTTGGTAACGACATTGAATGCCAAGCATTGGCTAGAGCAGGGGTCTCGAACTCGACCAGTAAATAGCCATATTAAAAATCTCATCAAATCTGTGGGCCAGACAAAAAATGTTTTTTATTTAATTTTTAATTAATGTTGTGCTATAAACTGAAATGGCCATTGTTTATTCAAAATGTGCAAAAACTTCAGCAGTAAAATACAGGCACTTGTAGTAGACCTTGAAATATTACTTGGACACTTGAAATAAATAAAATTTAAATGTCCCCAGGAGCTCAGTCTTTTAAACCAACCTATTTGCTTGAACTAGACACCTGGCATCCTGTCTTTGCTGCTCGTATGTAATTCTTGGGCTCAATTTTTGAGCTGCTGAGCTGACGTTAAGTGTTTATATTGGTTAAACTGCAGCTGAAATGCATTTTGGTGATATGACAGGTGTGGAATTGCGCAGAATTGTGTAGAATTGAGGTGTAACCGCTGTCCTGTAGTATGTTGTTAGGAGAGTTGGAGCACATTATGTTGCAGTGCATGCTGGGGATTGTAGTGCAGCACATTGTGAAAGAGCTAATATTAATGGAAAATGAAAATACTTTTGCGGCCCGAATAGGATTGTGTGGCGGGCCTGATCTGGTCCGCAGACATTGTGTTTGACACATGGGGGCTAGAGGGATATAACCCCGCCCCAGCATTGGGCTGTGGAGCAGTGGAACTGGATTCTCCGTAGCGATGGAGTAATACCTTTGGGATGGGCTAATCATTCAACATCAGTACCTGATGTCACTAATGCTCTTGTGGCCAAATGCAATCAAATCCTCACAGCTGTGTTCCAACATCTAGTATAAGAACTTCTCAGAAGAGTAGAGGCTGTTAGATGAGCAGTTGTCTACAAATGTTTTTAACATGTAGTGTATTATAGAGTAGGCTGAAAATGTGCTACTAGCACTTTAGGAGCAGTTCACCAAATATTAAACTTTTTATGTTTTCCAAACAGCAACAGCAACCACACCAAACAGCAACAGCAACCACCATTCACATTTAAAGTAGACTCAGGGAGGAAAAAGAAAATGGTGATGCTTATTTTGTATCGGGTCTCATGGATTAACGCATCTAAAGTGACACATAATATATTTGATCTGACAGGTACTTCATGTCCTCTGTTTCTGTCTCATTTTACACCCTCCACACAGATCATATGTCCACACACATACACAAGTTGTCTGCAGGTACTAATTAACTGCTGTAGTCTCAGTGAGCACGATTCTGATGGAGCTACCACAAGTGTTTATTCTCTGAAATCATCTCAAGCTCCTGTTTCCTGCTTTTCAGTGGTCAGTAAACACCATCAATCCCTCAATGTACACCATCCAGAAATTATTTAGAGCTACACCTGCCTTTACTTTTTTACATCAATGTAGTTTTTAATGTAAACATAATTTAAATTTTCCATTTGGCAAATGATTCATCACATTTTTAAAGGTCATATTAAATGTACCTAAATAATAAGTAAATTTTAATCTACAATCTTTTTAGTTACAGTCCTATGCAAAAGTTTGAACACCTCTGGTCAAATTAATGTTTTGTTGATTTTCTAAGTTAAAATGGGTTAACACATCCTCTGCAGAGAACACATTTCAGACCTAATTACTGTTTATTTGCTGAATAGCTAATTTTATGTTGTGTTTTATTATATTTGTATGTAAAAAGAAGAAATTGTAGATAAGTGCCATATTTAAATGTGTTTACTGTATGAATAAAATTAACAAAAAGTTTGTTAATTTTATTTGTGTGAACAGACCCTTTACTCAATTATAGCTTCTCTGCTGTTAAATAATCTGCATTGATTAATGGCCAAATCACAGAGTCAGCTCTTTAGTTACTGTAAATGCTGTTAATTACTGTTGTTATTTGGATAAAAGCTACTTTTACTTTGAGCTGAATCTCAGAAAACTTCTTGTTTTGAACTTGTTTACTTGTAATGGGATTATTGTTTTAAGTACTTGTTTCTAAAGTGAATATTTGGCTGCTCTAGCAGCCTAAATAGATAAATATATTTAAATAGATAAATATATTTTTTGGAACGGGCTTCTTCTGCAGAATTTAAAGTGAATCATTATTGTCTGTATCTGTAGACTATTAAAAATGAGATGGTCTAAAAACAGCCAGACTTCGCTCACTGTCAAGAGAACAGTAATGTTGAAACAGGCTGATGTTGTTGTTGTTGAGGCCTAAAGATTCAAAGCATGTGAAAACTGTGCAGATTCATTGTGAGAATTTATACTTCAGCAAAATAACCTCCTAATGAGGACAGGATTTGTCAATAGTGTGCACATCATAAACACACACACACGCACACACACACACACCAATATGACCTTGGTGGGGGATTTCCTGACTGTCTTTTGCAGCAACTGCTATTCTAGGCCTGCACGCATTCCGGCTATCAGCACAGATGCATACTTTCCATTAGCCATTCACTCACCCACACGCTTAGGCCTACACACACGAATATAAAAAGTGATGTACACACACACTCATATGACCTACATCAGCTACATCAAATGACAGACTGATTCAAGGTGCTGAGGTTGACTGGCATTCTTTCTGTTCTACATCACTATTTACCAAAGTGCTTGAATATGGATCCCAAACAACAGTAGACCATGATCCCCATGTGTCCAGCCAATCAGCCACCAGCTATGCATGTGACTGGTAAGCACAGCCAATTGTAAGACTTATGACCACTTTGGCCGGCTTCTCTGACTAAATCACGCTGAAAATATCTGTGGCCAAATAGCAGCTCGCTGTCCGGCATGCAACGGACAGGAGACTACCAAAACAAGTCCCAGACATCACACACAGGATATAGACGGGGAGCCCAAACAGTGACATTACAACAACAACCTCAATATACATCTGTCTCCAAAGCTCAAAGTGGCAAAGTTTTTATCAATGTAAACATGATTGAAAACAGTGCAGTACAGACAGGAACATTAGTCACTGTGTTTAGAATGGTGCCCTGATCACTATTACCTACAGTGGACAACCAAGAGTACTATTTACAAAAAAGTTTAAACTCCCTGGTCAAATTACATGTTTTATTGACTTTCTATGTGAAAATAGGTTAACACATCTTCTACAGAGAACACACTTCAGTATGGCATTTTCGGCTAAAATCTGCAAATTTTAACACATATTTTATCTTCTCTTTTCAGCAAATAAACCATAATTGTGCATTAAAGTGTGTAGATGTGTGTTCTCTGTAGATCTGTAGTTCTCTGTGGATGATGATTCAAGTAAAGTTTTGTACTCTAATGTTACTCAGGTTCACTCATCACGCTGTGACAGTAGTTATATTCCATTCCATAAACATGCAAACTGTCATGCCATCCCAAATAAAGGGTCAGGCATATATTTCAAAATGTATGTACATATATGTAGTGTACATATATGTAAGTATCAAATATTGGACATATAGGCATAATATATGGCTCATACATATATGTTTGATAGGTGGGTGAACACATGCATAATAAATAGATCATACGCATACTGTGTGTCTGATACATATGTCGGATTCATGGATCATACATATATGTCTGATACAATCAAAGATTTTTTAGAAGCAAAAAACTTAAATGAAATGCACCAGTCATACACTCAACGATAAAAACTCACATTACATGAAGCTAGTATATATGTGCAATATATGGCATCCATATATGAACGTTTCTATCATATATTTTGAAGTATATGTGTTACACACCTCTGTTTGAATAAGCTGATAAATGGCTGAAAAATATGTCCCATATTTGAAAATGGCCAATTTTAAATGAGTTGGCATACATGCCACACATAATGCCATATGTGACAAATATAAGTTGGATAAATAAGGGAAATCCATCCATCCATCCATCCATCATCTAAACCGCTTATCCTTCTGGGTCGCGGTGGGGTGCTGGAGCCTCTCCCAGCTGTCATTGGGCGGAAGGCAGGATACACCCTGGACAGGTCGCCAGTCCATCACAGGGCAGACAGACAGACATACACATTCACACACACACTCACACCTAGGGGCAATTTTAGCATGTCCAATCAGCCTGACTGCATGTTTTTGGACTGTGGGAGGAAACCGGAGTACCTGGAGGAAACCCACACGGATACAGGGAGAACA